CCCCAGTGCGCTCCCGCGGGGCGGCCAGGCGGCGAAGGTGGGAAGGTGGCCGTGGCGGGCGCCCCCTGCAGGACGCGGTGTCCTGGGCGGGCGGGGCGGGGAGGCGGGGAGCCCGCGGAAGTCGTGCTCGCTCCTTGGCCGCCAGGTGGGGAACTACAAGCGGACGGTGAAGCGCATCGATGACGGACACCGCCTGTGCAACGACCTGATGAACTGCGTGCAGGAGCGCGCCAAGATCGAGAAGGCGTACGCGCAGCAGCTCACCGACTGGGCCAAGCGCTGGCGCCAGCTCATCGAGAAAGGTGCCCCCATGCCCACCCCGTGCGCCTCGCCCAGGCCCTAACGGGCTCCCCACAGGCCCGGGTTCTGGGAGCGCCCAGCCACCTAGATGCACTTGCACCCCCCGGGCCACGGGCCCTTTGGAGGCACCGTCCCCACACTGCACTCTGACCCTCCCAAACCAAGCCAGGTCTTCCCTGTCCCTGTTCAACACGACTTTGTACAATTTTAGGTTGGATTAAACAGAACAAAACAAAACAACCTTTTTATTTCAAAATAATTTTAACTTAGGGAAAAGTTGCAAGAATAGTAGAGAGAACTCTAGTCTTCAACCAGATTCGCCAGTTAAAATTTTACTACATTTGTTTTCCCAGTTCCTCTTTCCATTGTGCATATGTGTTCTGAATCGTGTAAGTGGGACGCATGCCACTTTAAATCCTTCACGTATCTCCCAAGAGTAAAAACATTTGCTTACATAGCCATAGTTCAACTATCAAATTCGGGACATTTAATATCACCCATATGCAAATTTGTTTGTGCTGGTCTGGGAGCCAATCCAGAATCACATTACCGCATTTAGTTGTCCTGGCTCTCAATTCCTTCAATCTAGAACAATTTCAGCTTGGGGTTTACATGTATTTGTTAACATTTTTTTTCTCTTCCACGAGTCTCTAAACCCCATGAGGGCAGGGGCTGAGCCCACACTGCCCAGCACAGTGCCTGGCACAGAGTTGATCCCCAATACACAGAGGAACAAATGACTGGCATGACTGGTCCCGGTGGCCTCTTGGCATCTGTCACCAGCTGGTTCTTCGGTTGTAACAGTCAACATTCCTGAAGCACCTACTGTGTGCCTGGTGCTGTGCTGGGCTTGTGAGAACTCACGGGGTGCAGGCTGCCCCCCATGGGACTCACGGGTTGACAGGAGAAGATAGGCAGTAGGCACAGAGGTAGATGCTAAAAGAAGAATTCTGTGAGGGCTGCAGGCCGAAGTCTGAGAGAATAGAGCAGTCAGAGAAGGCTTCCCAGAGGAGGTAGTTGGGCCCTGAAGGACAGGAAAAACTATAAAGAGGGCAGAGGAGGGCATTTCTGCGCCCATGGCGTGTATGGGGAAAGCGTCAGAGAAAAGAGGCATGAAGGAGGCCTCTGGGCAGGGGGCGATGAGGGCCTCGTGACCCCATGACCATTTCCTCAGGCCCACAGTATGGCAGCCTGGAGCGGGCCTGGGGTGCCATCATGACGGAGGCGGACAAGGTGAGCGAACTGCACCAGGAAGTGAAGAACAACCTGCTGAACGAGGACCTGGAGAAGGTCAAGAACTGGCAGAAGGATGCCTATCACAAGCAGATCATGGGCGGCTTCAAGGAGACCAAGGAGGCTGAGGACGGCTTCCGCAAGGCCCAGAAGCCCTGGGCCAAGAAGATGAAGGAGGTGCCCAGTGGGTGGCTGCTGCAGAAGGGTCAAGGGTGGGCAGCTGAGCTCCGAGGGACGATCTGATCAGAGGGAGAGACTCAACAGATGGGGCGGGCAGTGCACCGCCCGCTGGGAGCCCCACAGCCTCGTAGGAAGAAATATCCACAGGTGGGGCGGGCACCTCAGTGCCCAAAGGGAGGGCGTCCGTAGGGGCAGCAGGCAGTGCCAGATGGGGATACATCCACGCATGGGTGGGCCCTGCTCCCCATACCTGGAGCTAGGGCCTGCACCCCTCCTGCCTCTTAGGAACGTGTGTCCACTGCTCCCGGCAGGTGGGAGGGCTTGATGAGCGACCACATCGGTTCCTGCTTACAAGCAGGAGCTGTACCTCCCCTCCCCCTGTCCCCACAGCTGGAGGCAGCAAAGAAGGCTTACCATCTGGCCTGCAAAGAGGAGAAGCTGGCCATGACCCGGGAGATGAATAGCAAGACGGAGCAGTCGGTCACGCCCGAGCAGCAGAAGAAGCTGCAGGACAAAGTGGACAAGTGCAAGCAGGATGTACAGAAGGTGCCGACGGGCTGGGGTCCGAGGGGTGGAGTCGGGGGTGGCCGGGAGCTGCAGGCCTGGCTCTCACCCTTCCTTTGCCCTGGGGCCTGTAGATGCAGGAGAAGTATGAGAAGGTGCTGGACGACGTGGGCAAGACCACACCCCAGTACATGGAGAGCATGGAGCAGGTGTTTGAACAGTGCCAGCAGTTTGAGGAAAAGCGGCTGGTCTTCCTCAAGGAGGTGCTGCTGGACATCAAACGTCACCTCAACCTTGCCGAGAATAGCAGGTAGCTGGGCGTGGCAGCGTGGTGGGCACAGGCACCCACAGCAGAGGGGAGAAATGGTGTGCCAGGCATGCTGGGCCCCATGTTATTGGAACAGGAAGGGTGGGCAGAGCCGCAGGGGCCAAGAAGGAAGAGGCGCCAAATACAGTGGCCGCCTGGGTGCAAGTCAACACAGATTAGGCACTAGAGAAATGCGCTTGGATGGATGGATTTGTGGCTAAGGTGACGATAGGGGAGGGTGCCTGCTGGAGCTGACCACAAGGAGATTGCTCCCAGCTGATTCCTAGCTGGGGGCATGCCAGCACCCTGGTCCCCTGAATGGGCTCCCTCTGGCCATTGAGAGGGACCCTGGTCCCCTGAATGGGCTCATCCTCTGGCCAGGATGAGAAGGGGCCATGGTGCACCTTGGCCCCCAACTCCTGATCTCCCCTGTGCACAGCTATGTCCACGTGTACCGGGAGCTGGAGCAGGCTATTCGGGGGGCTGACGCCCAGGATGACCTCAGATGGTTCCGCAGCACCAGCGGCCCCGGCATGCCCATGAACTGGCCCCAGTTTGAGGTGAGGAGGTGTGGGGATGGGGAAGGGAAGACAGAGAAGGCTGGAAGGGATCTCAGGGGGCAGCCCCCCTGCCTCACTGCTCCCCTGGTGCCCACCAGGAGTGGAACCCAGACCTCCCTCACACCGCCACCAAGAAAGAAAAGCAGCCCAAGAAGGCAGAGGGGGTGACGCTGACCAATGCCACTGGAGTGGTGGAGTCCACATCCCAGGCTGGGGACCGTGGCAGGTGAGTGCCTCCTGGGGAGCTTCCTGGGGGCCAGAGGGGCCCACAAACTGGGGCACATGAGTTTTACCTCAGAAGACGAGGAATGATCTAAATCACGGCAACCCCGTGGTCCTCTCAAAGGTAGTGGTGGGTCATCCTTTGAGAGCACCTACTGTGTGCCAGGCACTGTTGTAAGCATGTGCCATATATTAACCCACTGAAGCCTCCCAACATTCTGAGAAGTGTTTAGAGTCCCATTTTGCCGATGGAGAAACTGAAACCCAGAGAGATTAAGCGCCTTGCCCAACGTCACATAGCTAGTTAGTAAGCCTCAGAGCCAGGATATGATGTCCAAGAGGTCAAGCTCATTAACCACTAGTGCCCCTCTAAGATGATGGGTCAGATGTTTTCAGGGGTCCCCCTTCAGCACCCCCTCACTCAAGGTCTGAGTAATAATGCTAATAGTCCTGACTCACGTTTGTCCAAAGAGCTGTCAGTGAGGGTCGCTGGCCCGGGAGCCCCTCTTACCAGGCCCATCCCTGTTCCAGTCTTCGTGAAATTTGGGGCCAGGGCTTTGATTGGAGGAGGGGGCAGTTCATGCTGGGTCCCCTCGCTGTGTTTCAGCGTTAGCAGCTACGACAGGGGCCAGCCTTATGCAACCGAATGGTCGGACGACGAGAGCGGGAACCCATTTGGGGGCAGTGAGGCCAATGGGGGCTCCAACCCCTTCGAGGACGACGCCAAGGGAGTGCGTGTGCGGGCGCTCTATGACTACGACGGCCAGGAGCAGGACGAGCTCAGCTTCAAGGCTGGTATGGTGGGCTGGGCTGGGCTGGGGGGGTGGGGCGTGAAGGCAGGAGACGCCCGGATTTGCTGGGAACGCGGCTGGGGGCGGGGCCTTGTGCGTGGGCGGGGCCAAACCTGGAGGGTGGTCCTGGCCCCTGGGCTAAGACTCGAATTAGGGTGCAAGGGCAGGGCCTGAGA